GGATTAAACTGAATGCCCCGGCTCAATGACCGGGGCATTTGACAGGGCGCCGAGGTGGCGCCCTGTGATTGGAGGGGGGGCTGAGGTCGGTCAGCCCCCCCTCCAATTGTATGGTGCCACATCGGCACCTGTATGATGGCCCGGTCATTGAGCCGGGCCATCTAGCACTGTCCTTTCTTGTCTAGTGAAGCTATCAGCACCAACTAAGCCCCTGTTTGACAACCTTGGTTTGAGGAAAATAAAGTTTTATATAATAATTTTTAAGACAATGGGTAGTTAAAAAATAAAAAAAAAATTGAATTTACACGTAAAATATTTTATTTTGTGAATGTGTAATTGAAAATAAATATGTAAAAAAAAATTGAAAATAATGATTGTCAAACTGGGGCTAAATTACAATTTTAGCACCACTTATTGAGTTGGGCGTATTCCAGTACTTGAGCAGGCTCAAGAGGATAAGCTTCTTCCCCCAAGTATCTCTGCACCATTCCCACCAACCAATTCCAATTACACGTAAAAACGAAAACAAGCTCAAGAGGAGGGAAAACAATCAATTATGGGAACCTACTCATATGCACCTCCTTTACAATTCCCATTTCCATTAACCCTAATCAAACACAGAAGAATCCAATTCCCAATCCTCACCCCAAACCCATCAAAAACCCACCTCAAATTCAATCCAGTCTCAGCCACACTAAATTCTCCAAAAGGATTCGGACCCACCTCAAAAAAATTCAAAAAATCCAAAAAACCAAAGAAAAATTACGACACCAACGAAGAAGAAGATGAAGATGAAGAGGACGAGGACGAGAAAGAAGAAGGCGTTATCCCAGAAATAGTTACCAACAGAATGATGAGTAGAATGGGATTTTCTGTTGGAATTCCTCTGTTTATTGGGCTTTTGTTTTTCCCATTCTTTTACTATCTCAAAGTTGGATTGAAAATTGATGTGCCCACTTGGATTCCGTTCATCGTCTCATTTATCTTCTTTGGGACTGCACTGTTAGGAGTGAGTTATGGGATTGTGTCATCCAGTTGGGATCCGATAAGGGAAGGCTCATTGTTGGGTTGGAATGAAGCCAAGAAGAATTGGCCTGTTTTCTGGCAATCAATATGGGGTGGAGGATCAAAGAAGAAGTAGGAAACCATTTTATTCTCGAGTTTGTATCATTCCGTATTTCCAAGAGGAAGAAGAATATTTGGATAATTGTTGGATTTTTACTTTGAACGTAAATACGTTAATCATTTCTATATATTTTACTAGTAATATTATTTATTATTATAATGATAGAATATTTGTAATTTAGGTGGAATAATAAAATATAACAATTCAATTTTTTTGAGAGATGGGGATTAAATAGTCACATTTTATTATTCCACCTAAATTGTCACGTTATTGACGTTACATTACAATGATAAATAACATTATTATTATTTTCCTGGGTCTACAATATATTTCAAAAAGCCTTCGGTTTTGTGATTTTGATTTATTGCTTTCTATAATCCATTTTATATACTTTTGTTAAGGAGGAAGTCCCGAAGGCAAACCCCCCCACCTGTACCGTTAGCCCCTCGGTCAGGCGGGTTGTAAATCGAGGGATATGCACGAGTGAATCCATTTTATATGCTTATTATGAAAGAGGATAGTTGGTTAACAAGGATTTGAATATCAAAGTTTGCATAACGTATTACTGCTTTCGCAGCTCATGCTTGAGAGGCTGTTTAAGAAGAACTTTTGTGTTTGCTTCTCCTTCTTTATTGATATTGTGCTCCGTCTTATGGGCAATTTCAACAACTCCAATGATTATCACTACCAAATATTGAAAGATAATATGGATGTATGGTTTGTTTGCAATTTTCACTTCATATAAAGAGTTTTAGAGGAAATGTTGGTACGTGGGACAATGCAGATATTGCTCGTGGTGAATAGTGGTGGACTGAGGTTGTGGAGGTTGTAATATTTTTATGGGGATCATGCTACACGTACCGAATCTTTTATCTATTACTCACAATGGATATGCAGACCACATTGTCGGAATTTTTAAATACACGCGGGCCTCGCGCATTATGTGAGAGGGGGGTAATCCATTATGTACAAATCATTATGTGCAAATGGATTAATCCTTTTTACGGTGTTTAATTTTTTAAAAAAAAATTATTATAGTGTAACAAGGATTATCACATTTAACAACACTACTGGGTTAATGATTACCTCTCGGGCCGCAAAATATCTCTCGACTCTTCTTAACGTAGTCTTTCAAATCGTGACCAGTTGGATCAAAATACGAAAGAATAAAATTGTATTGGCTCAATCTTACCAGAAAATTGAGCACTGCAGTACGTGAGTGTGTAAAAATCCTTAGAATTAACCTTATTGTACACTCTTAGTTTACAACAAGTTTGAACCTCCTTTATGTGTTAAAATTTGAACCATTAGTTGTTTAAAGTGTTGTTAAAATCAATGTATAGAAAACTATCACCTCATAACAGTGTCAAGCTTGATGTACATGTAGCAAGATTGAAATTGTTATACTGTCAACCCAAATCAAAACTGCATTTTCGAAATGTTAACTTGATGTCATGCTTACGAATCAACAATACGATTTTTGAACTAAAACAAACCAATTTAAAAGGTTTTTGATTTTGCCGTTTAGGTTTTGAATTGAGGTGGGGTTTGAACAAAGTTAAATCGTTTAAAAAATTTAAATAGTTGCAAATATGAAATCATCTAAAAAAAATTGGGAGTTAAGCTTATGCTTATGTGAAAGTGAATTTTTTTTTTTTTTTTGAAAAACATACTGTTGACAAGTAGAAAAATACATGAAAAAATGTGAATAAATATATATATAAATGATTTTCAAATAAAAACTTTTGCTGAAGCACCTTGATGTCTTTGCTAGTTATAGTCTTTTATTTCGGGTGAGACAGATGGACCTATGGGTATTCTTTTAAGGGATAATTACATAAAACCAGCTATTTAGTTTTAAGTTTATGAAAATCAAGTTTATATTTTTTTAATGAAAAATCAGGTTTTATCATTTTTAATTAATAATGATATTATAAAATTAAAATAACCTATATACCCACCCTACTACCTGCCCCCCACCAAATTTATTGTAAATATAAAATTCTAACTCTATCCAAACCCTAACCCAATCCATTTCATTTCTCTTCTCTCAACTTTTCTTCCAACCAGTCGCCGCCTCCACCGCCACCTCTCCCTGCCGCCCGCCTTTCCTCCCTCTACTGCGAATCGCAGCAGTGACGCTACTGCGATTCGCATCAGCGTCCCCTTTCCCTCCCCCTCCCTCTGCTGTGACTCTCTCTATCTCGTTCCCTCTCTCTATTCTTTCGCTTAATTTTTCTTGTCACCGCCCACTAGCTCTGGCCACTATCACCAAAAATCGGGCATCGCCTTTCACTCTCACAACCAGTGGTGGATTGACTTTGGATTCATGTTTATCGATTTACAAAATCTGTCACTAGATGTGTGCGAAATCTTTTTCTGTCGTTGTGGGGACGATGGATGTGGGCAAATCTTTTTCTGTCGCTGCGATAGTGGAGGTCAGAAATCAATTGTGGCACAATGTTGTTTGTGTGTTGGTGGGTTGTGAATCTGCGTGGTCGTGCAGTAGCGTTGGTGCTGATTTGTGGTGTTGATGTGTGTTTGTGTAGTGGTGGGTTACAGATTTGCGTGGTGATGGTGCTATGGTGGAGGTTGAGGCACGAATGTGATGGTGGAGCTACATTTTTGGTTGTGAGGTGGAGGTGGAGGTGGCGGTGGTTGTATTGGCGGTGGTGGTTCTGTGGATCTAATATTTTTTGTGGTGGTTGGGATGTTGGCTGTGGTGGTGGCAGGGGTCGTGGGTGTTGTGGCCTAGAAATTGTGACTGTGACTCACTGCGACCCGTAAAAGTTTTGATTTTTTTCAATCTGTGACCTATAAAAAATTTTGGTAGTTCTGTGACACGTGACCAAGTATTGTTGGTGTATTGGGATTGGGGGACGGGTGCGGCGGATGGGTCAAAGTGTCTGTGGCCATCTATTTGGTTGATCTGTGACCCGTGACAAAGTATTGGTGATGTACTGGGATGGGGGAAGGGTGTTTGGGTAACTGCGACCCATCTATATGGTAACTGTGACCTTGAAATTCGTTACTCCGTGACATTAAAATATAACCCGTGACCTATAATTTTTTTATCAGTGACCCATGAAGTCAACTATGACCTATAAAATATTTTGATTTGTGATCTCGGAATAATCTGTGACCAAACTGCATATAACTGTGACGTTAATAATTGTTGGAATCGGAGCAGTCGTCGGAATTAAGTGACGACAGAACGGTCACCGGAGTGGTCGCCGAATTAAGCGCGGCCGGAGAACAGTCTCCGATCATCGGAGTAGTCACGCAGAGCAATGTGGGAGATGGAGATGGAGGTGGGGTAGAGTTAAATATTTAATTTAATATAATAACTGTGAAATATAATTAATTAATTCAAGAACAACCTGATTTTTGCAATTTTAAACTTTGGGGCCTGATTTTTGATTTTGGGATAGATAAAGCTTGAGTAGTGAATTTTTCCCTTCTTTTAAAGAATGTTGGTCTTATTAGACTAGGCCCAATTTCTTAAAATTCATTTTTTTTTTTTAAACTTATTCCAACTACAAATTTTATGAGTCGCTCAACTTTTTAATTATATATTTTATTAACTTTTATTAAAATATATTAAAAACATAATTTTTATTACAATCATGCTGTATGCACATTATCATTTACATCATTTTTTACATTTTACCACGTGGCAATACACTACTGGACATTTTAAATTTCTAAAGTTTTTTCACCCAATCAACACTTGACACCACTTGTAATGTTAACAAAAGAGTGTACACGTCATTTTCCTTTTAAT